ATTATTTAATATAGTATCTCAATTTCAAATGGAATCAAGATTATAAGGCATATCTCGTGATTACCGGTTTGCTATAATTCCATCAGAGTATTATTTCCTTGTTATGCCCGCGCCCGAGAAGGGGTGCTTTATAGCGTCGACCGCAAAACCGGTAATTCAGACCCCGATTGCAGGGTGACCATGGCCCGTGTACCGACAGATGGGGTGTCCCCAAGCTGCCAAGGTATGCGGGGACCGCGGGGGGGCGGGGGCGGGAGAAGGGAGCGCCGGCGCGGCGACCGCCCGGCCTGTGCGCGCCCGCAGCCGCTTCCCGGAATCCCTCCCGGGGCACCTTCCCTCCGCCGCCCGCGCGCGTCTGTCCGTCTGTCTGTCCATCTGTCTGTCCCCGACCGCGCTGGGCCGGCCTCATCCCGGACCTGCACCCTGCCTCCCCCCGCGAGGATGTCCGCGACCCCCGGGCACTGGGCGCGCTGGTGTGCGCCGGGCGGAGGGGGGCGCAGCGGAGCGGCCCGGCCCAGGGTCCCCGGTCCTGCCGGACCCGTGGCTGGGAAGCTGGAGGGGGCGAGAGGGAGGAGGGGACCCGCTCCAGGGTCGGGAGGGGATGAGGGACTGGGTGCGAGTCGGACTGCGTTTCAGCCCGAGACAATGGACCAGTTCATCTGTCCCGAGTTCTGTCCGTCCACGCTGGTGTCCAGGGACGGCTCTATTGGAAGGTGCCAGCTGCCCGCATCCTAAGCAGGTCACTGAGCCTCGCTTCGCTGTTTCTCTTTCCTGGAGGTCTGACCATGCCCGGGGTCAGAGCTGGGGGCGGGGGGGGGGGGGGCAGAGGCAGGCTGGGGGGCTGGAGGAGTCCTGGAGTCCACCCCCACCCCCACTCGCGCTGGGGGTCACGAGCCACACCGGCCCACACTTGGCCAGGCTTCCGAGTCCCCGCCCCAGCCCCCGCACACCTGCCCCTCAGGTTTAGGAGGAGCAGGGCCGGAGGGGGCGTTGCCAAGGCTACAGAAAACTCCCGCACACCTGCCCACCTGCCGGGATGAGGGACCAGGATGAGGGACGCCTGGGAGGGCGGCCCGTGTCCGGAAGGACTGGGCTTGTAAATGCTGTCGTTTACAAGTTGCTTTTCCACTTCAGAGCCTCCAAAATCTGCGCGGCTGTCTCGTTCTTATCTGTGTTTCCTCTAACGTGTCTCGTGTATTTATGTGAAAGTGAAAGGAGATCTGCCCGGAATTGGGCTCCTATGACTTGACAAATGGTAATTTGTCTTAAAAAAAAAAAAGAACTAGAAGAACCATCGTCCCAGAGATACTGTCTTAGAAGTGAAGCTTTCCTTAACCCCCTGTCCCAGCCTCCTGCCTGCACACAGCCAGCTGGGCCTCATTTTCCTGCTATGGAAGGGGTCGTGGCATATGTATTCCTTGACTCTCAGTCATATTTCACCAAATATAAAATGCTGTGAGCCCTGGCCGGTTTGGCTCAGTGGATAGAGTGCCAGCCTGTGGACCAAAGGGTCCCGGGTTCGATTCCGGTCAAGGGCACGGACCTCGGTTGCAGGCTCCTCCCTGGCCAGGGCCCTGGTCAGGGCGCGAGCAGGAGGCAACCAATCGATGTGTCTCTCTCACATCGATGTTTCTCTCTATCTTTCCCTCTCTCTTCTACCCCCCCCAAAAACCAATGGGAAAATATCCTCGGATGAGGGTGAACAAAAAAATAAAATGCGGTTGAGGGTAAGGTGCCCTTTTATTTCCTGTGACCACGTAAGAAAGGCGGTCAGCCACGCCGCCTGCACCGTGGGCGACGCAGATTGCAGGGCTGTCCGCCTGTCAGGAGGAAGTGGGCACTTCCAATCGGGAAACGCACTCAGCTGCCCTCCTGGGGACTCCCGCTGCTTTAAAGAATGAACTGGCCCCAGTGGTTCCGGGAAGAGCAGGGCTCGTGGTGGGATGGGCGCCGGTTGGCCAGGGTGAGGTGCTGAGAACTGGAGGAGGAGACAGAGAGAAAGCGCGAGCCCGGCTGGGGCTGCAGGAACCCGTGTCCCCCAGGCCGCTCTCCAGCTGCACAGGGGAGAGTGCTCTGAAGCATTGCCGTCGCTGTTTTAGTTCTGAGGTTTGAAAAAACATTTAAAATGTGCGTTCACACAACCACCAGAAACTAGACCGGGGAATCGATCGGCGAAATTGAAAATGCCCCGGTGAGGAGGAAGGAGGAAGGAGGGAGGGGCCTTCGCACGCTTGCTCACTCCTTTCCTGACAGAGCAACAGGCCCTTCGTGCTGGTCAGAGGCCAGGGTGGTGGGCAGGTCCCTGGACGAGCAGGGAAAGCCAGCCCGGAACCAGGAGGGCCTCCCTCCGACCAGTGGTGGCCTCGCTTCTGCCCTCCCGGGAGCCGGGAGCCCGGAGCCTGCAGCCTGCAGCCTGCAGCCGGGAGCCTGCCCGCAGGACACTCCACCCCACAAAGCCTTCCACAGAGGCGCACGCCCTGGTCCCCATCCCAGCACCACCCTCCGAGCCAGAGTCTTTACAGAACAGCCCAGCCGGCTGCAGCCTATGAACCAGGAGGTCAGGGTTCAATTCCCGTAAGGGCACAGGCCCGGGTTGCAGGCTCGATCCCCAGTGTGGGGCCTGCAGAGGCAGCCGATCCATGATTCTCTCTCATCATTGATGTTTCTCTCTTCCTCTCCCTTCCTCACTGGAAGCAATAAAAATATATTTTTAAAAATAAGTAAAGCCTTTACAGAACCAACTGGAATCGGGCACCAATGTAAGAAGAGTCAAGATTTCACTCGCTGCATCGCAGTAGCAGGTGGCAGCCGTCGGTCCGTGAGCGAGGCGGGCAGAGACGCCCTGGGGAGGACACGGTCCAGGCCGTGCCTGCGGGGAGTCTGCCTGGGAGGAAGTAGCGCTCTTGTTCAGAAGGAAATGTCACGGTCGCCTCCAACCCTCCACCGACCTGATGACAGTGAGAATTCAGAGAAACAGCCCAGAGGTGAGAGAATGTGAGGGCCGGGGCGGAAAGGAGGCTGCAGCCTCGAGAGTCAACTGAAGGCGCTGGAAACGTCCCAACAGCAGACACAGACGCGGCAGCCTGGGCTCTGCCAGGCAGCACGTCTCACGGGGGCGGCATCGGCCACGGACCGCTGAGAGGCGGGGTGGAGTCCTGAGGAAGAGCCCGGTGCGGGGCGCACACAGCCCGCCAGGCCTTGGGGAGCAGGTCCCCGAGGGGGAGACCCGCCAACGGGACCGCAAGTGCCAGCACAGACGGGAGGAAAGAAACGGTGTGAGATGAAGCAGAAATGGTCCTTAGGCCCCAAGAAGCGCCAGCACAGGGCTCGCCCGTCCAGTCAAGCCTCGCTCCCCTCCGTCTCTGGGCAACTGGGCATTTTCAGTCTCTGCTCAGTGTCGTTCCAAACTGAAAAGCCGAGTTCCAAGGAGTCGCGTGCTTTCCCGCCTGCTGCATGCTGTGCGCAGCCACATCCAGGGCCTCGGCCTGAAGGTGCCAGCCCCACACCCAGCCGGTGGGCTCCCCAAGGACCTGCCCCAGCCTCGGCAGGCTGACATGGCCGAGGGCCTCACCCTCCGCTCCCGGCATCTGGGGGCAGGGCGGCCCTGGATGGCCACCCCGGGGGGAAGCAGGACACTGCCGGCCGGGAAGGGGCTGCTGCCCCCCTCCCTGCACACACCCCAGGGAGGCCTCTCGACCACAGGGCTCCCCAGCTGGGGGATCCCGAGCCATGGGGGGACCCTCCCCTGCAGATGACGGGGAGCCAAGCTGAGGGACCGAGCTCCAAGCCCAGGCTCGGGGTCCCGGGGGCCCATCAGACGTAACCGGCAGAAACCATCTGAAGATGAAGTCGTTCAGAACTCACACGGCCACCGAGAGCAGCCACCAGGCCTGGGCCTTCTGCGCACGGGCCTGGGGCAGAGCCGCCGGCTGCGGGGGACGGGCTGGCCTGCTGTTGTCAGGGGGAGACAAGCAGCTTCCTGAGCGATGCCAGGCAGGACGCCAGGCGAGGCCCGGGATCTTCGGAGCCAGCAAGAGCCCAGCTCCGGGCATTCTGGTGGGAAGCAGGGTGTGAGCCGCCACTGTGGCTGAGCATTGACCCCTGAACCACGAGGTCACGGTTCTATTCCAGGTCAGGGCACAGGAGGGGTGGGGGTGGGAGGGGGGTTGTGGATTCGATCCGCAGTGGGGGGCGTGCAGGAGGCAGCTGGTCAATGATTCTCATCATTGATGTTTCTATCTCTCCCTCTACCTTCCTCTCTCTCTAAAATCAATAAAAACATATTTTTAAAAAGAAAGAGAGAGAGAGGGGGAGTGTGAGTCACCAGGAACACGAGGGGGAGGGGTATTTCCTGGGTCCCCTGGCCCAAAGTCGGAGAGCAGGACTGCTTTTTTTTCCCCCTCAAAAAATTTTGAAAATCTTTATTGTTGAAAGTATTACATACGTCCCCTTTTCCCCATCGACCCCTCCACCCCACCCCAGGCGTTCAGCACCCTGTTGTCTGTGTCCATGGGTTATGCACACACGCCTCCAAGGTCTTTGGTGATTCCCTCCCCCGCCTTCCCTCTGAGATTTGGAGAGCGGACTTCTCGTGTTGTGTGTGTGTGTGTGTGTGTGTGTGTGTGTGTGGTTGTGTGAGGTTGTGTGTGTGTGGTTGTGTGGTGTATGTGTGTGGTTGTATGTATGTGGTTGTGTGTGTAGTTGTGTGTGTGGTTTGTCTGTGTGGTTGTGTGTGAGGTTTGTGTGTATGTGGCTGTGTGTGTGGTTGTGCGTGTTGAAGGCACTGAGCCTGCTCTGTAGACGGGACCCGGGCGGGGCCGCCAGGAAGAACACGGTTACAGACGTGCACACAGGGTCTTTGGTGATTACCTCCCGCCCCCCACCAGAGGCCACGGGCAGGTGTTGGCGCAGGGAGCCACCCCGGGTTGGCATCTGCAGGCTGGGTGCGCCCGGGCTAAGGAATGTCCCTGCCACGCCGGCCTCTGCAGAGGGGAGTGGGAGCGGCCACGGGTGACAGAGACATCCCTGTGGGCGTTCCAGGTGGGTGCAGGGTTAGGGGCTGCTCTGGGGCAGAGGGGCCTGGGATCTCATGGGGGGGAGGGGGGTCCTGGAGCCCCAGGTCCCTCGAGGGGAGCACCTGCTGGTGCCCGCACTGCCCCCGGCAGTCAGGAGGAACTTAGCCTGCCCTTTGCGGGCACCCTTCCTGCTGGGGGGCTGGCTGCAGCCTCTGCTGGGTCGGGACCCCCACATCTACAGAGCCTCCCCTCGCCACCTCCGAGGAAGGAGGCTTTCAGAGGCGAATGCAGACGCTAAGAAAGAACATTCCTTGAACCATGGAAACATCAAACTCAGAAACTTCTGCGTGGCTTGGAAAAAACAAACACAAAACCCAGCATAAACACATCGATGGGCAACTGACAGGAAAGGAGAGAAAAGGGGTGACTCACCCGAGGCCCGGGCCTCCCCGCCCCCGGCCCCCCCCACCCTCCGTGGGCCAGCGTGTAGGTTGCTGCGGCCCCCGGGCGAGAACGCGGCCTTTCCCATCGGAATCGCAGATGCGCCCTCTGCCCGGTGCCGACCGCTGCCCTTCCGGACCCACCTCCACCCCCAACCCTTTGCTTTGCCCAGGGTCCTGTCTTCTGGGGGGACAGCCACCAGCGCCTGCTCGCTGACTTCCGGTTGGGTTCAAGCCCGAGCAGAGGGCGGGAGGAGCGTGGTGGGTCGTTTCTCTGTCCCTCAGCACCCTCCCCGCACATCCCGGACTGGCAGAGTCCGGCTCCGGCCACAGCCGCACACCGGGCCTCTCCTCCCAGGGCCCTGATTGGCACCTGCCCTTTGCCCCTGGGACCCAGGGTGGGAGGCGGCCCCCGCTGTGGTGTCTTTAGCCGCTGCATTCACAGTTTGCCTACATCCTGTTCACACATCTGGTGGTTAAAGAAGATCTCACCATTTCCTGACGTACAGGTGCCGCTCGCTGTGGGGACTGACTCACAGGCCCTTTGGCCAAGGGTCCAACCTGGAAAGTTCCCCTTCACTCAGACACGCCCACGAGCAGAAGGACATGCCCAGGAGCAGGGCCAAGGTCCTTCAGCACGGAAAAGACGAGAAGCAATTCCAGTCACCATCGGAGGGCCTGGGGATATGAATGGTGCACGTCCGCGGAATAGGCAGAGCGACTATTTCAAAGCAACAGGAAACTGGTGCTAATGTAGACAGATCCCCCCAGTACATGTGTAAGTGGAAGAGCAGGGGCAGGACAGGGCATGGATATGCCGTCTATTATATAAAAACGTGGGAGAAAAATAGGTTTGTTTTGCTGATGCATAAAGGCATTCTGAAAGGCTCATCAAAAAAATAATAGTAGCCCGGCTGGTGTGGCTCAGTGGTTGAGTGTTGACCTATGAACCAGGAGGTCATGGTTCCATTCCCGGTCAGGGTACATGCCCAGGTTGTGGGCTTGATCCCCAGTAGGGGGCATGCAGGAGGCAGCCCATCCATGATTCTCTCTCATCATTAATGTTTCTCTCTCTCCCTCTCCCTTCCTCTGAAATCAATAAAAATATCCTATATAATCCTATATAATAAAAGGCTAATATGCAAATCAACTGAAGGGCGGAACAACCGGTTGCTATGACATGTACTGACCACCAGGGGGCTGACGCTCAATGCAGGAGCTGCCTCCTTGGGGGTCAGTGAGCTCCCACAGGGGGAGCTCCACTCAGCCAGAAGCCAGGCTCACCGCTGGCGAGCACAGTGGGAGTGGCAGGAGCCTTTCCTGCCTCCGCAGCAGTGCTAAGGATGTCTGACTGACAGCTTAGGCTGGGGAGCGGGCCTAAGCCATCAGTCGGACATCCCCCGAGGGCTCCCGGACTGTGAGAGGGCTCAGGCTGGGCTGAGGGACCCCTCCCAAGTGTCCCTCACGCACTGATTTTTTGTGATTCATCACTATCCTTTAATTATGTTCCATTTGTCACAATGAAATTGGGGGTCACCACAACATGAGGAACTAACTGTATTAATTTCGTGCACCGGGCCCCTAGTATTAAAATAATAACAAAAGTCGTTTTCTAAAGGAAGCCAGTCTCTTCACTGTCTACTTTTTTGTATGTTTAAAATTTTGGAACCAGATTACTGTGTTACCTGCTCAAGAGTTAAAATTTCTTCCTGCCTCGGTGGGGAACGCAGAGGCTGACTCAGGGTGCTTGTGGACGTGTGCCGCCCGTTTTAATGAGACGCTTCCGAACTGTGATCGCCCGATACTGATCTCCTTTCAGATGTGAACGTGAGGAGGGACTTGGGAAGCAACAGAGATGCCGTGGGCCCGCAGTGCCCTTGCGATTAGACTGGCTAGTTTGTATCTCATGGGTAAGTGACACTTTTTATCGTCGCTCTTGTGGGAGCCAGCCTGCGAAGCCATCGTCACTGAGCCCTTTCGGGAGGGGGGGGCGGGGGGGGGCAGCACGCTGAGACCCGGTCTCGGCCTGCCCACGGTCCAGGGGCCAGGGGGGAAGGTGGACAGGAAGCCGGTGCTGAGAGGTGTCTGCCCGACGGTCACTTTTAGGAAAACAGACAAAAACAAGAACGGCTGAAGGCTCGCTAAGGGAGGGAAGGGCGGGAACTCCCGCCCGTGGGCCCGGCCGGCCAGCGTTTCTCCTAACGCCCTCCCTGTGGCCCAGGTGGAGGTAGTGCCGACTCCGATCTGGAGCGAGGCCAAGCCCTGACGTCCGGCCAAGGTCACGCACTGAGCAGCGACCCTGAACTGTGGCTCCACGCTCCGTTTCTTATTGATTCCTTTCCTCCCGGCATACATGTGCCTCCCCCTGCCTTCCCGATGACTCTGTTTTAGCATCACTGTGTCCTCTGTCTGTCATCTGTTCCGGGCAGGACGGCCCGTCACTGCGGGGTATCTGCGGCCTCCGCGGCCCCCCGCGGACGGGAAATGTCCCCCGCTCACCGCCACACCGGCAGGCAGAGGACGAGCGAGTCCCCAGCCCCTGCACCCTCCCTCCGCCCCTGCCCCCCCTCGGTGACCATCTTCACCTCTGAGGTTTATTGATGAGCAACATGCTTCTTTATATTCGGAGGATTTTTCCGGGCGGACGACTGCTTCTGGGGGCAGTCCCTCACCCCGAAACGCAGCAACCCCTGTGCTCAGCACCAGCCCCCACCTCTCCTGTGGGGTCCACTCGGTTCCGTGCTCGCACGCGTGTGTGAGAGGAGGCCCGTGTGGAGCGGCAAGTGTGAACGGAGCCCCGAGAGGGTGCTGTCTGTCTAACGCGGCTTTCTTCCTCCTAGTGCACGTCGGGCCCTCGCTGGGTGCGCCGCAGGCTTCGCTTGGTAAGAGGCGTCTCCTGATCGACTGGGTGCTGGAAGGTCGGGGCGGGGTGACCGGTCAGACGCCTAAGATGTGGGGAAGTTTCTTTCCGATCCTAGATCTGTTGCCCATTTTGTTTGATGGTCCCCTTTGCCTCACAAAATTATTGTAAGAAATTAACGCCAGAGGCCATTTTAAAGCCCCTTGGAACCGCGGTTCTCAACCTGTGGGTCTCGACCCCTTTGGGGGTGGAACGACCCTTTCACAGGGGTCACCTAAGACCATCGGAAAACACATATATAATTACATATTGTCTTTGTGATTCATCACTATGCTTTAATGATGTTCCATTTGTCACAATGAAATTGGGGGTCACCACAACATGAGGAACTGTATTAAAGGGTCGCGGCATTAGGAAGGTTGAGAACCACTGCCCTAGAAGATTCTCCCATTTAAAAGCCCTGACTAGGAGAATGCGGGACCCGCAGGCTACGCCAAGCAAAAGATGGCCCTGGAATAATTCCCCTCATTTGGCGTTCTTCCACCAGTCCCTCCGCGCCTGTACCGATAAAGGAAAGTACATTTGTAGTTGACTGTGTTGGGGTGACACTGGTTAATAAAGTCATACAGGCTTCAGGCGTCCAGCCCCACAGCCCACCATCTGTGTATCGCATTGTGCATTTACCACCCCACGTCGAAAAGCATTTTTAAACTAAACTTCTTGCCCACATATGCAAACCTGCCCACCAAGCTTCCCTCCGTGTTCAGTGCGTGTCCAGCCCGTGCTGGGCGCTGGGGGAGGGCGGTGGGAGGCTGAGAGGGTCGGAGGCACTGTGAGCAGACCAGGCAGATTTGACAGGTGTAGCTCCCTTTGGCCGCTCCCGCATCCCAGCTGCCCAGCACTGGGTGCCTCGGGCTCAGTTTCACAGTCTGCAGAATGGGTCTGCAGCCCTAAGTCAGCATTGTCCTGGGGACTCAGTGCCTGGGGCACAGGTTCTTCTCCCCGCCCCCTGGGACGGGGAATGAGGTCAGTGGGGGATTCCCAGGAGGAAGGGCCTGCAGAGGCAGAGCAGTGGAGGAAGGGCAGGGAGAGGAGTTGGAGGGGAGCCGAGGGAATGGGGCCAAGATGGCGTGGGCATTGTGGTCCAGTGAGCCGCTGAGCTCGGCGAGCACTGGGGGGCCCAGTCTGTGTACACGTTGCTCACGGCCTGCGTGTGCCCTGAACGCGCCTGTGTCCTGTGCTGCTCGTTGGTTAATGCGGTCGGGAGAGCGCTTCCCTTCCCGAGGGTTCAGTGGCGCCGGACGGACGGACGGCTTCTTTGCCGGGAACGTGGGCTCCAGATCCCAGGGGGCGGGCTGCGCGGCCCTGGCTCCCTGCTTCAGTGCTCTGTGTTTTTTCTCCTGCTTCCCTCTAGCGTCTTCAGATGAGTCTTGCATTTTCAGCCTGACCTTGAGGAATTTCCGGCCAATATTATCCTGGGAATTAAAAAACCGCTCCATTGTCCCAACTCACTACACGCTGCGGTACACGATCATGAGGTTCGTTTCGCATCTCGTTCTTCTCTAGCTGAGTACATGACCGCCTTCGTGGGCGGGAGGGTCGGCTCTGAGGCAGGCTTCTCCCTCTCTCTCTCCCTCTCTCTCTCCACGCCCCACCCCCGCCCTCTGGGGGGTGTGGTGTGTGTGTGTGTTTTCTTGGGAGCTTGAAAAACCCAGAGACAAAGGCTTATCTGTTTAACCCTTTGAGTGCCAACCAGTATCCTAGGAACTATGTTAAAATCGCCAAGGCATTTTTGCTGACTTTACAGCAGTTTAGGGAAAAAATTATGAATCGCAAGTAAATGAAGTTACATATTCAAAAACTTAAGGAAAACTTTACTACATTTGTTTTCATCTTTGACGTATGTTGTTTGCTGATTGTATTATAGAATACTGGTAGAAAAAAAATTTGAACAGAACATATAATGTTAAAATAGAGGGACACCCTTCTCCAATATCTTCCACAAAATCGTCACCTCCACAGCAAGAATGGACATATTTAGCAATGTCATCATCACTAATAAAAGCAGACTTAGAACTGGACGCCATTTCTAAGCTTTAGGGCTACAAAATCTGAGTAAACGTCATAAAATCGTAGCACCTGTGAAAAATTAGGCAGATGAATGCCAGCGGTCAGTTTCAGAACTACAAACGCTCGGCATCGTGAGTAACTGCACTTCGGTGCCGCCTGTCAATACAGAGTGAGCTCCTAGCATCTAACAGTGGCCCTGCGGGCGGAGCGCCATCGCGCCCCCGGCCCTCCAGGGGTTAACTGAGTGGAATCCTTGGACAGTTTCCTGCTGTTTGGGACAAAGCTCACGTGGATGACCAAAGCCAGAGGCAGAAGCAGTCCCGCCCTCACCTGGGACCTGGGCTGTTGGAACGTGCCCCCTTTTCTGGGACAGGAGTCCGGGGGCCGGGACCAGCGCCATGGCCTGGCTCACTGTGCTTTTCTCGGGGACACAGGGGACACGGGGAAAAGCTCCCGGGCCCAGAGTGCAACTTGGTCACCCTGGGGCCCTGGGGCCCTGGGGTCCTGGGGCCCTGGCCACCAGCTCCGTCTGAGCTCAGCCTCCCGCCGCGGGGCCTTGCAGGGTCAACTATGTGATGGACGCGCCTCCTTTGCTCTCCCCTTCCCCGTGGGACAGTCACCCTCCCAGGTCCCACGTGGGCCCAGGAGCCCCTCAGCGTGTCCTTTGGTTCATTGCTTATTTGCCGTCGAGCTGTTACCACTCCTGACAGACACCGGGCACCTTTTTTTTTTGCTTTTTTGTAAAATATATTTTTATTTCAGAGAGGAAGGGAGAGGGAGAGGGAGGTAGAAACATCAGTGATGAGAGAGAGTCATGGACCGGCTGCCTCCTGCACGCCCCACGCTGGGGACTGAGCCCACAACCCGGGCCTGTGCCTGACCGGGAATCGAACTGTGACCTCCCGGTTCCTAGGTCAACGCTCAACCACTGAGTCACCCGCCGGGCCTGGTGGACCTTGTGAGCCTCTGCATTGGCCCCGGGCACAGGGCCTGCCTTTCTGAAGCCAAGGAGCCCGCAGGGCCATGCTGCCCTCCATGGCACAGGCGGGCTGAGCACAGTGCCTTGCGGTCCTCAGCTGGGGAGAGACGGGTCTCGGTGGGGCACCTGCGATTGCCCGGGGCACCCCAGGGCCTCCCCCATGAACACCCCAGGCTCGCTCGCTCATCGTGGGTGTTTCCCGGGCGCCCCTACATGCCGGGGACAGCGTGACCCCGCTCCCCGGCCCTGCTGGCAGCAGGCGCAGACGGCAATGAACAGATCCCGGTACACTGAGTGGGTGGGAGATGCTCTGAACGGACATGTACAGGGAGCGGGATGGGGGGGAGGGACTGGGACCCCCGGCCGCACCCCAGACGGAGTCTCCTCATGTAAACACCCGTTTTCCTTGTCCCGTTTCTTTTCCTATCAAAGTAAAGCAGAAGCCCTGCAGCTGGTCCCGGAGTGCGCCAACATCACGCGGCCCTCCTGCGACCTCACGCACCAGTGGCACAACCTGAACGAGATGTACCTGCCCTGGGTCATCGGGTCCCGGGGGAGCGCCACGCTGGTCAACTGCGCGGGCATGGTCTCCCCGTTCGTGGAAAGTGAGTTCTCCCTTTTCTCAGCCTCGGTGTCCCCACGATCTCAGTGTCATGTTCTGCCGGGAAGCAGGCAGGTCTGCAAGGTGCTGGGCCTCGGGCCGGGCTCCCTCCCAGCCGGCCGCTCTGTGGCCTGTGGCCTGTGGCCTGTGGCCTGTGGCCGAGCGGTTCCTCGCTGCTCTGAGCCTCGGTTTTCCTGCCCGGTCAGTGGAGCGGCTCTCCCTGTGGGAGGCAGACACGGGCAGTAGCCATTGCTGCCTGTTGGCTTGTTTTCTTGTTTTGTTTTATATGTTTTTATTGATTTCAGAGAGAGGAAGGGAGAGGAGAGAGAGACAGACAGACAGACAGACAGACATCAATGATGAGAATCATTGATCGGCTGCCTGCTGCACGCCCCACACTGGGGATCAACCCCGCAACCCGGGCCTGTGCCCTGACCGGGAATCGAACCGTGACCTCCAGGTTCATAAGTCAACGCTCAACCACTGAGCTACGCGGCCGAGCCGTGTGGTTTGTTTCACCGCCTGACGGGAAGCGGGAGCAGGGTGCCCCGGCCTGTGACCTGAGCTGTCACCCCTCTGGGGCCAATGTTCTCCTTAGTCCTGCAACGCCTCCCCCAAATCACACCTTAGGAGCCTTTTGACATGTGAGCGCCGGTGGCATGCCCGGGGCCCAGGCCCAGACTATGCCGCGCCCGGGTGGCCTGCCCTCCCTCCGCTCCCGATGGCGCCTGAGTTCACAGCCCCACGGCAGGTGACAGCGGCCTCGGCCAGACCCTGGCTTCTTGCTTTCTCAGTGTCCTCATTTGCAACCTGCTTCCAGGAGAAAGGTTCAGTGTTCGCTCCTGTTGAAGGCGGCGAGGGCGTGCGGTGACGACAGCCGCCTGCGGGGGTGGGGGGGGTGGGGGGGTCAGCGCAGGTCCCCAGGAGGCCTGGAGGCCGGCCGTTCCTGTGGGTGTGAACACAGGCACCTCTGTGTCTCCACGCGAAGAAGAAGAAAAGCACAACTCAGGCTGTGGCCGTGAGGGCGTTAACGAAAGTATATTAAGGTCATAATAAGATGCCCGGCCAGCGTGGCTCAGTGCCTGAGCGTTGACCTGTGAACCAGGAGGTCGAGGTTTGATTCCCAATCAGGGCACATGCCCAGGTTGTGGGCTCCATCCCCAGTAGGGCGTGTGCAGGAAGGAGGCAGCCAGTCCATGATTTTCTCCCTCTCTCTTCCTCTTTGAAATGAATAAAAATATATTTTTTTAAAAAAGAAAGTAGCCGAAACCGGTTTGGCTCGGTGGATAGAGCGTCGGCCTGCGGACTCAAGGGTCCCAGGTTCGATTCCGGTCAAGGGCATGTGCCTGGGTTGCGGGCACATCCCCAGTGGAGATGTGCAGGAGGCAGCTGATCGATGTTTCTCTCTCATCGATGTTTCTGGCTCTCTGTCTCTCTCCCTTCCTCTCTGTAAAAAATCAATAAAATATATTAAAAAAAAAAAAAAAAAAAAAAAAAAAAGAAAGTAAAAATGAGATATCATTTTTCAAGACTCAAAACGGCAGGTATTAAAAATATGTAAATGCCCAGGTGTAAGGAAAGGTAGGGCATTTGCTTTGGCAGAGTCTTTCGGGAGGTATTGCAGTAAGGATTGGAAACCTTAACCCCTGCCTGCCCTGACCCACATTTCCCCTGTTGTAATTTATCCTAAAGAGATGATGGGCAAAGGCAAAGATTTAGCTCCAAGAATACTCACAGATACACAGATTCTATTCACAAAAATTAGGGTCAGCCTAATGCTCAAAGCAGTGAGTCCGTTCAATCGCGGTGCAGCCGCCTTGTGGGAGAGAGTTAGCCTTGAGGAATTGTGATGAAGGTCGGGTCAGCCGACTCTCTGTTTGGGCCAGAGAAAAACCCGCTAGACCAGTGGTTCTCAACCTTGGCTGCACATTAGAATCCCCTGGGAATCTTTTTAAAATCCTGATTTCTGGGCCTCATCCTCCAGAAATTCTGTTTCTTTGTTACACTCCCAGGTGATTCTAACGTGCAGCCAAGGCTGAGAACCACCGCGTCAGACTGTGCGGGCCACCTATGGTCTCTATGACATAGTCTTCATTTGCTTACAACCTTTTCAAAACTAAAAACCCTTCTCAGCTTGCAGGCTGTGCAGAAATTCAACCACCGGCCAGAGTCCGCCAGCCCTTCATATCGATAAATATGCGCTGATATATGTATGAAATAAGTGAAAGCGTATGCCGTGTAAAACAGTGTGGGTAAAGAATGGTTTAGTTTTCGCTGAGGAGGGTGTGTGTGCGTGTGTGTGTGTGTGTGTGTGTGCACACGAGTTCCATTTACATACGTCTGTGTCTGTTCACACACATACAGTAGAGACAGAAGATGACCAACCACATTCAGAAACAGTGTCCGTATTTTCTGATATGTCTGCAGTGGTTGTGTATTATCGTTGCCGTTAGGGTTTGGCCGGTGACTCGGGCTGTGAAAGAATTCACACCGAGAGGAGAGATGCGGAGAGGAAGTTTATATCACTTTCCGAGGGAGGAAAGGGCCAAGTATTGCTGCTGGTCGCCACAGGGCACGGAGCAAAGGGTGGCCTGGTCTTTTAAGTGGTGGCTGTTGCTAAGCAACAAAGAAGGGAGGGGGCTGGGTGGAGCAGATACCAGGGGCCATCCTGAAAGGTTGCAGTTTGTTTGTTTTCTAGGAACCAGACAGATGTCCTAGGGAAGTGTCTTATCGCTGTTTACCCCAACCCTGTAGAACATGCTTAGAGCAAAGGTTATAGCGTTTAAAAGAGGCCTGTTCGGAGGGGAGGGGCAATGGGACTTCCCTTCTAACTAGAGCAGCGGTTCTCAACCTGTGGGTCGAGACCCCTTTGGCGGTCGAACGACCCTTTCACAGGGGTCGCCTAAGACCATCCTGCAGATCAGATATTTACATGACGATTTATAACAGTAGCAACATGACAGTCATGAAGTAGCAACGAAGATAATTTTATGGTTGGGTCACAACATGAGGAACTGTATTTAAAGGGCCGGAAGGTTGAGAACCACTGAACTAGAGATTCGTTGGTGTGAATGATCCCTGAGTTGAAGCAACAGGGAGGAGGGGGATGCAAGAATGTAGGCTTGAGAGCAGCTTACCTTGTCCCGTTTGAATCAGAGGAGCCGTCAGTCACGGGGTGTAGTTACCAGGTGCTTCTCATAGATTGTGGGAGGCCACAGCGAGGAAAAAGAGAGGCCTCTGTCCCGTCTTTACAATGGCAATGGGGCAGGAAGTCAGTTTTACTTCTGTATTTAGAATAGAGGCTGAACATTGGGTAAGGGCTGACTTCTATCCCACTTCGTGTGGTAATACCAAGCAAACCACTTTGGTTGGTCCCAGCTTCTCATCAGTTAAAAAGAGAACTAAAAGAACGCTTCTGGAAAATAATTTAAAACAAGTCAAACCCAGGCCTCCAGGAGGACCGCAGGCAGATTGACAAGCGGACAGCTGGGCAGAAGGAGGGCCCTCCGGGGACGCGGGCGCGGTTGCCGGCCGGCACGGGGTTTGCCTCTGACTTTGTTTTCTACGCAGTGATCCTGGAGCCCCCCGAGTTTGAGATCGTCGGCTTTGTGGACCACATTAACGTGATACTGAAATTTCCACCCTCCTTGCCCAAGTTGCCGCCTGGGAAAGGATTATGGCTTCACTTGTCACTTTCCATAGAAGAGGAGTCAGAGGGGATTGTGAGGCAGGTAAGAGGTCAAAACAGTTCTGAATTGGTAATGACACTTTTTTACACATATACTAGAGGCCCCGTGCACGAAATTCATGCACTCAGGTGGAAGGGGGGGTCCCTTAGCCCGGCCCGTGCCCTCTGGCAGTCCGGGAGCCCTCGGGGGATGTCCAACTGCCAGCTTAGGCCCGCTCCCCGCTGCACTCACCATCCATGAGCCCGGCTTCTGGCTGAGTGGCGCTCCCCCTGTGGGAGTGCACTGACCACCAGGGGAAAGCTCCTGCGTTGAACGGGATCAGGCTAAAACCAGCTCTCCAACATCTCCCGAGGGGTCCTGGATTGCGAGAGGGTGCAGGCCAGGCCGAGGGACCCCACGGGTGCACAATAGGGGATGCGGGAGGTTGGCCAGCCAGGGAGGGACTGCGGGAGGGCTCCAGGGTGTGTCCAGCCCATCTCACTCAGTCCCAATCGGCCGGACCCCAGCAGCAAGCTAACCTACCAGTCAGAGTGTCTGCCCCTGGTGGTCAATGCACGTCATAGCAAGCGGTTGAGCGGCCTTAGTGTATCATTAGCATAGTATGCTTTGATTGGTTGAACAACCGACTGGTTGACCGGACACTTAGCATATTAGGCTTTTATTATATAGGATATACACTTTTAAAAAAAAAATAAAGTTATTTTTGCCCTAGCCAGTTTGGCTCAGTGGATAGAGCATCAGCCTGCAGACCAAAGGGTCCAGGGTTCGATTCCAGTCAAGAGCACGTACTTTGGTTGCAGGCTCCTCTCTGGCCCGAGCCCTGGTCAGGGTGTGCGCAGGAGGCAACCAATCGATGTGTTTCTCTCATATCAATGTTTCTGTCTTTCTCTCTCTCTCTCTAAAAATCAATGGAAAAATATCCTTGGGTGAGGATTTAAAAAAATAAATAAAATGAAAATAAAGGTATTTGTAACTAGTGGGGTCCCTTGGCCTGGCCTGCGGGATAGGGCTGAATCTGGTTCTCTGACATCCCCCAAGGGCACAGGCCCAGGTTGCAGGCTCGATCCCCAGGGTGGGGTGTACAGGAGGCAGCCGATCCGTGAGTCTCTCTCATCATTGATATTTCTCTCTCTCTCTCCCTCTCTGAAGTCAATAAAAATATATTTTTTTAAAAAGATGCTGGGGTGAGGGAAGATGGACAGCTGTGCTCGCTGGTGGGCCTTGCCAAGAGAACAGCTCACGTTGGCATCGCCAAAGCCCAGCCTGCCAGGCCTCAGTGGGGCATTCCAGGCAGAGGGCACAGGAAGTCGGAGGGCCTGCGGCCAGAGTGGGCCCGTGGGTTTGGAAACAGCAGGGAGCTGGAACGGAGTGACCGAGACGAGAGAAGAGAAGGAGGAGAGGTCAGGGAGTCGTGAGGCCGGAATTGGTAGGTCTTTGTGGGTCCGAGGCTTTGGAGTAGGATGGAGCATCCTGGCTGGGGTGTTAGGAACAGACCAGAGGGCCCAGCCAGTGTGGCTCAGTGGTTGAGCATCGACCTAGGAACCAGGAGGTCAGGGTTCGATTCCCGGCCAAGGGCACAGGCCCGGGTTGTGGGCTCGATCCCCAGCAGGGCCATGCAGGAGGCAGTTGATCGATGATTCTCTCATCATTGATGTTTCCATCTCTCTCTCCCTCTCTCTCCCATCTGAACTCAATTAAAAATACATACATATTTTTTTAAAAAGGAACAAGTCAGAGAGTGATGGTGGAGGAAGAGGAAGCACCCAGACCTAAATCCAGGGGGGCCGCCAGGTGCTCCTGGGAAGAACATGCCCATGTGGTACTCCCCGGCCCGGGGTGCTGGCCAGGCAGCCACTGCAGGGCAGGCAGCGCCTGCGACCAGAGTGTAGACCAGGGGTCCTCAAACTTTTTAAACAGGGGGCCAGTTCACTGTCCCTCAGACTGTTGGAGGGTCGGACTATAGTTTATAAAAAAAAACAACTATGAACTAATTCCTATGCACACTGCACATATCTTATTTTGAAGTAAAAAAACAAAACGGGAACAAATACAATATTTGTATTTGCATGTGGCCCTCGGGCCATAGTTTGAGGACCCCTGGTGTAGACGCTTGAGAAATACAAACGAGAAGCTAAAGAAAAGACCCAGAAACGTGGTGCTGGTCTCGGGCCGTGGACACAGATGAGGAAGAACGCAAGGGGATCACCCGGCGGGAGTGAGCTGTGCCTATTCGAAACCGAAAAGATAGCCCTGGACTTTGAAAGCTATAGGCCATTATGCAAAAGGGCCTTCCTAGCGTCTAACTCCAGGACGGCCCGGAACTGCCTGGGAAGGAAGAGGCCAGGGGTTCAGGGGGGAGCCGGGGAGCCAGGCATCGGCCTCAGGTCTGCCCGGGCTGTGTGGCCTCGGGGGGGGTGGCTTCACTTCTCTGCACTACAGGGGCCTCCTCTGGGTGGGAGGAATCACGCCTGCTTTGCAGACTGCTCTGATGGTCCGTGAGTGCATGTCAGTGAAAGCACTTCCTGGAATGGAGGGTGGGTAGATACCATCATACAACAAGACCCTGGGACGGCACGATAAGACTGGCTGCAAAAATGCCCTCGTGGAGACCTGTGCTCCTCACTGGGGCTCTCTCCTCGTCTGTACAATGAGATTTCACAGTTTAGACGAGTGAGTGCGTGTACGCGTACATGTCGTTTTGTGATAAACGGCTCGTCCCAGGTGACGAATGAACCCCTCTTCTTGCTGAGCGTATGAGCCTTCTGTCCCGATGTGAGACCTGAAGGCCACGCCCCAAAGACGTTCTCAAGGCGTGCTTCTCAGTAAAACCCCACGCCAGCGGTTCTCAACCTGTGGGTCGCGACCCCTTTGGGGGTCGAACGACCCTTTCACAGGGGTCGCCTAAGACCAATCGGAAAACACATCTATAATTACATATTGTTTTTGTGATTCATCACTATGCTTTCATTATGTTCAATTTGTCACAATGAAAATACATCCTGCATATCAGATATTTACATGACGATTCATAACAGCAGCAACATTACAGTTATGAAGTAGCAACGAAAATAATTTTATGGTCGGGGGTCACCACCACATGAGGAGCTGTATTAAAGGGTCGCGGCGTCAGGAAGGTTGAGAACCGCTGCTCTACGCCAAGTCTTACTGAGCTTTTGTTTTTGCTTCATTTTACAGCATCTACTCAAAATAGATGAACGCACCACCGGAAATTTCACTTACGTCATCGACAAGCTGATTCCAAACACGAACTACTGTGTGTCTGTTTATTTGAAGTTGGAGAATCTGTCTAAACTGAGATCTCCCTGGAAGTGTGCCCGCCTCCCACCCAGGCCGGAGCCAGGTATGCCAGGCCTCACACCGCCCTCTGCTTCCCTTCGCGGGAGAGCCCGTTGACAGGCAGGACCCTGGAGGCCGGAGCCCTGCATTCTCTTCCACCAGAGACACGGGGCCACGGGGCTTTCGGCGGTCAGTCTCCACTGGGTGGCGAGTCACACTTCCGTCGCCGAGCCATGGGGACGGTCAGATATCTATCTGCATACGGTCCGAAACCCTCCTGCGGTGGGAACACTTTTATGTCAAGGAATCGGGATTAAATTCAGTTCTTTTTTTTTTTTTTTAAATCCTCACCCGAGGATATTTTTCCATTGATTTTGAGAGAGAGAGAGAGAGAAAGACAGAAACATTGATATGAGAGAAACGCATCAATTGGTTGCCTCCTGCACGCGCCCTGACCAGGGGAGGAGTCCGGGGAGGAGCCTGCAACCAAGGTATGTGCCCTGGGCTGGAATCAAACCCAGGACCCTTAGTCCACAGGCTGACACTCTACCCACTGAGCCACACTGGTCAGGGCTGGGCAAGATTCTAAGGGGGAACTCAAAATAGAACAGAGAGAGTTAAGCAGAGCCCAGACTTGGGGTCCTGGCATGACCCAAGTCCACCTTAGGGTGACCGGCTGTTGATTTCAGGCAGAAGCCCACCGCCCACTTCTTCCCGCCTGCGGCACACACTGACATGTGACTCAGAAGCTGAGGGGTGTTTTCAATTTTGATCAAATAAATTTAAGTAGTCACGTCATGTGTGGCTCAGGGCTGCCGTATTGGACAGAGCTGTCATAGAACGTAAGTATAAAGTGGAAGCGCCCGGCCGGCGTGGCTCTGTGGTTGAGCGTCGACCTATGAACCAGGAGGTCGCAGTTCGATTCCCAGTCAGGGCACAGGCCTGGGTTGTGGCTCGATCCTCAGTTGGGGGGCGTGTAGGAGGCAGCGATCCATGATGCTCTCTCATCATTGATGTTTCTATCTCTTTCTCCCTCTCCCTTCCTCTCTAAAATCAATAAAAAAATACGTTTTAAAAAATAAAATGGGAGTAACTTTACTTTTAAAAATTAAATCCGTCATTTTTATCATTTGAAAAATGTGTATTGGGATTGCTTCCCGTTTTCATTTCTGTATTTCACAAGAGCCTTTCCAGCTACTGCTCCTTCGGCATCTCCTTCGCCGCCAGGCCAAGGGGCGTTGGCCCCACCGGAGCGCACCTGTTGGATTTATTTTGAAATAAAGTCATTTAATTTTTCACCCACAGTGTCCTCAGAATCTGCCAGCATCGGAGGCCTGACGGTTCTGTTTCTGATGGCCGTCCTCGGGGGCGCCTTCACAGTGCTGAGGCGGATCGGTTACATTTGCTTACGAAGCAAGTTCCCCAAAGTGTTGGTATGTGGTTGTTGTTTTTTAATTCCTGTCTTTTTTTGTTTTCGCTTAAGAATGCTTCTTCTGTCCTCGCATATTTGCCCGGAAGGAAGTCCCATTTTCTAAAGACCCCAAGGCGTTCGGGGCGCTGGGTTCTTTTCCCTCCTCGGGAACACACGTTTTGCGTTTTCTGTCTTCCTTTCCCCTTTGCCCACGTGTTGCTTCTAGGGATCACACCGCAGTCCGATTGGCATGAATGTATCGCCTTTCCCTCGGTCATCTCCCAGCCGGGGAGCACTGGCCTGGATCTCCTTTTCATTTCTTTTCCTTTCATTTCTTTGGCCATTCAGAATAACGTAATGGCCTCGCTCTGTGGTCGAGCATCGACCGAAGAACCAGGAGGTCACCATTCGATTCCCAGTCAGGGCACAGGCCCGGGTTGCCGGCTCCATCCGCAGTAGGGGGCGTGCAGGAGGCAGCCGATCCATGATTCTCTCTCATCACTGAGGTTTCTCTCTCCCTCTCCCTTCCTCTCTGAAATCAATAAAAATTTTTTTTAAGTAAAAAAAAAAAAAGACTGCAGTGAACATGTTTATACAGATGACCTTCTTATTTGTCGTTACTGCAGTGGCGCCTGCACACATAGTGGATTTATCTGGGAGGAAGGTAAGGAGGGGACTTAGCCAACACCGGTGTGCGCACTCCTCCAAAGCTCTGCTGGCGTTCACCAGTCCCTGGGACCCTCTGTCCCTCTGTCGTGCGGGTGACGCCCCCCATACATGCCCTCCTCTGGGCTGGCTTCCTGGTTAGTGAAACCAGCCGGCTTCTTCCCTGAGCTCCAGAGGCAGCGTCTCTGTTCTGAGCCTCTACGCATCGCCCAGGCCGGGTGTGGCACATGTTTCTAAAACCTCCTCCTGTCTTCTGACTCCACTGCGGCTGCCCCTCATTCATCGTCTTCCCTATCCCGTCGCTTTCTCTTTTTAAAATATATTTTTATTGATTTCAGAGAGGAAAGGAGAGAGAAACATCAACGATGACAGAGAATCATTGATCGGCTGCCTCCTGATCGAGCCTGTAACCCAGGCATGTGTCCTGACCAAGAATCGAACTGTGACCTCCTTCTTGGTTCACAGGCTGACGCTCAACCACTGAGCCACGCCAGCCAGGCCCACTGCTTTCTTTCTATGTTAGTTTTGTGATTTTTTTTCATTCAGGAATATCTCATTTTTCTACTAGAGGCTCAGTGCACGAATTCATGCACAGGTGAGGTCCAGCCAGCCTGCCCCAATGGGAGCCCATCGGGCTGGGCCAGCGGGGAGGGGGGACAGGGAGAGGCCACGGGCAGGCAGTTGGCCAGCTGGCCCCGCCCCCAATTGGGGTGATGGGGGCTGGGCTGGCCAGGGGTGGGGTGGCGGGAGCCAGTCGGAGCCCGCATCAGGGTGGTTGGCTGCCACAGTGTGTGTCATAGTCACTGGTTGTTCTGGTCATTCCACTGTTCCCGTCATTGGGCTTTTATATATATCTATATCTATAGATAGATATAGATATAGATATAGATATAGATATAGATATAGATGATATAGATATAGATATAGATAGATAGATGTTTGAACTCATTCACCTTATACTTCTAATCTTTTAACAGCCGCATATTTAAATATTCCTCCACGGTTGATGAAATTGTAGGGTTTATTTGGGCAGTAAGTGTACTCTTGGAGATTTTAATCCCCATTAGTATTTGAGCTCAGCTGGCATGGCTGTGCCTGTGAGAGGCAGCCGGTTGTTTGGGGTTTCGCCTGCACTGTGATGGGAAAGGCAAGACTGTCCTGTTTTAGAAGCAACACGGGGATTCTCTGTGGCTCTGTGGTACGGAAGGGTCAGACACAGAAACCAAGCCCCATAAAGGAAGACCCCCCGATACGCTTTCTTACATGAAAATGAAGAATCTCCTTTTCTCAAATGTCATCATCAAGGGAGCAAATGCTGACACCACAGGCGGGGACAGTCCAGGCGACACAACCAACAGATAGTCAGCGTCCGGGTTACGGAAAGAGCTCCCGTGAGTCACTAGGGAAAAGGCGGACAGCCCGGTAGGAGACCCACCCAGGCTGGGTCTGGGGAGCAGGCTGTGGGATGCAGGCCACGGGGGGACCAGGGAGAGCGTGCTGCCGGGGGCCCGCGGATAGCCGTGCCCACCTCCGCGTCCTGGCCCTCTGTGGTCCGCGGGCGACAGTGAGCGCCTGCCGCCTGCGTTCTCCTAGTCGCCCCTGCGTGTCCTGGAGGCGTCTTTAAGGGCCGGACTGGACGGGGCCCCAGTCCCCGTTGTCCAGACCCTTTCGAGGTCAGTGCGGGGGCTCTGACACCAATGGAATCAGCTGCCTGTCTCTCCTCACCCAGTTCCTGACAGCCCTCAAGAATGTCTCGGCCTCCAGAACTGGGGTCTCCGGCCAGAATGCCGGTGGCAGCGAGGGGCAGGTGCAGGGAGGGGCAGGTGCAGGGAGGGGCAGGTGCAGGGAGGGGCAGGTGGCAGCGAGGGGCAGGTGGCAGTGAGGGGCAGGTGCAGCGAGGGGCAGGTGCAGGGACAACTGGCCCGGACATGGGCTGAGCCCCAGGGCCTAGTTCAAATCCCAGGCCACACTCACCGGTCATGAGCCCTGGGCCAGTTTCTTAACCTGTCTGCCTCATTTTCTCATCTGTAAAATGGGGGTAAGAACAATAAGCTTAGCCCGGCTGGCGGGGCTCAGGGGTTGAGCGTTGACCTATGAACCAGGAGTCACAGTTCAATTCCTGGTCAGGCTCATGCCGAGTTTCGGGCTCCATCCCCATGTGGGGCGTGCGGGAAGCAGCTGATCAGTGATTCTCTCATCATTGCTGTTTCTCTCTCTCCCCCTCTCTCTTCCTCTCTGAAATCTATCTATCTATCCATCTATCCATCTATCCATCTATATATATATGTGTGTGTGTGTGTGTGTGTGTGTTTTTGTTTTTTTTTTTATATTTTATTGATTTTTTTACAGAGAGGAAGGGAGAGAGATAGAGAGTTAGAAACATCGATGAGAGAGAAACATCGATCAGCCGCCTCCTGCACACCCCCTATTGGGGATGTGCCCGCAACCCAGGTACATGCCCCTGACCAGAATCGAACCTGGGACCTTTCAGTCCGAAGGCCGACGCTCTATCCACTGAGCCACACCGGTCTTGGCATGTTGTTTTTTTTAAAAGAACAGTAAACCTACTTCCTGGAGCAGATGTGAGGGGAGATAAATGTCAGGTGCTCGGCCGCGCCTGGAAATCAGCAAACAATCTAGACCCGGTCGCTGTGATTTTCGTTGTTGCCATCACCACCCCCATCTCTGAGCAGCTCATCTCATTACAGTTTTTTGTTTTGTTTTGTTTTGTTTTGTTTTGTTTTGTTTTGTTTTGTTAATCCTCACCCGAGGATATTTCTCCACTGACTTTAGAGAGAGTGGAAGGGAGAGGGAAAGACAGAGAGAAACATCGATGTGAGAGAAACACACCGATTGGTTGCCTCCTGCACGAGCCCCGACCAGGGCCTGGGCCGGGGAGGAGCCTGCCACTGAGGTATGTGCCCTGGACGCGAATCGAACCCGGGACCATTCAGTCTGCAGGCCAGTGCTCTATCCACTGAGCAACACCAGCTAGGGCAATCATTAAAGTTTCATTACATGCAAAAATGAAAAACAAATACTCAATGCTCTCCCCCCACCCCTCCCCTCCCAGAACTTTGATGACGTGGCCATCTGGGCGTTCCCCAAGCTGCCGCCCCTGGAAGCCGTGGCCGTGGCGGAGGTCATTCACGTCCACAGGAAGAGGAAGGTGTGGGATTACAACTACGACGACGAAAGCGACGGGGATGAGGAGGCCGCCCCCCAAGCCAGCGGCGGGGGCTACACCATGCACGGGCTGCCAGTCAGGCCTCTGTGCCCGGGGTCCCCCTCCTCGGCCACCCTGGGGGGCAGCGAGGAAGCCGAGTCCCAGATGGCACCAGGGCCCGAGGCCTGGCCCACCGAGCGCACGAGTGGGGCCTACGAGGGGAAGGGGACCTGGGGGCCCGAGGGCAGGAGTGGGGCCTACGAGGAGGAGGGGACTTGGGGGGCCGAGCGCACGAGTGAGGCTTCCAAGGAGGAGGAGGAGGTGGTGGTGGTGGAGGAGGAGGAGGAGGGGACCTGGCCGGCGGACCCCTTTCCCAGGGAGGACAGCGGCCCCACCAAGAGCCCCGGGGACCGGATCTTCTTCAATGTGGACTTGAACTCCGTGCTTGTGAGGGTCCCGACGGGGACGACTCTGGGGCACATCCCGTGTTCTGTCTCCCGGAGGAGACGGTGGACGCTGACGACCCCGAGGACAGCGCCGCGGGGCCTGAAGACGCTCCTTTCGATGGAAACGACCCCTCCAGGTCCGACGTGGGCATCGGGGACGGTTATATGATGAGATGACCCCAAAATAGGGGCTTACCCAGCAGCTACCTCTCCCGCCCCTCGCTGCCCCAAGCGTTGGGAGGGGGGCAGAGCGCCCCCTTCCTGGGATGTTACCTATGCAAATCCCCGTGGGGAGGGGAGAGCGAATGCCATCGTGTCATCACCGGGGCCTCTTACATGTCCAGAGGGACAGGCCTTGGAGGGAATGCCCTGTCCTCTGCTCACGCACTGATCCCGTTTCTGCCTCCGTTTCCCGAAGTAGCAGGGTCCCCTGGGGTCTCCAGGGGTGGCCCAGGGCCCTGGGGAGTAAGCAGAGGGTCCAGGGAGGGCGTGGGGGAGAAAGCAGCCAGGCCACCACAGTGGCTGGAGCGTCCACAGTGGCTCCCACAGGCTCCAGGACAGAGCAGGGAAAGAGCCGGAGGGAGGAGCCAGGAGGCCTTCCTGGCCGCGGGAGAATGAAGGCCTGAGGTTTCTGGGCCTTTAGCCATTTAAGACGCCGTGTGTGTTGACACCAAATGCCCTACTTGTGACGACAGTCCTGCGACTGGGGGTAGGGGCAGGCTCCAGAGCCTTGGTAGCAGACGCCCAGGACTGGGACTCCTGGTTCTGAGCCCATTGTGCTGTGTGGCCCTGAGCACTTTCTCAGCCTCTCTGAGCCTGTGTACTCACTTGTGAAATAAGGAGACTGGACAAAGTCATCTCCGAGACCTGTGATGCTGGGAGAAATATTAGGAAACTAGAGGCCCAGTGCATGAAATTCGTGCACGGGTAGGGTCCCTAGCAGCTGCCAGCTGCTGGCCTGGGCCTGCCTTCATTCCGCACCGCCCCCTGGTGGTCAGCGCACATCATAGCAAGCGATCGAATTCCCAGTTGGTCAAACTCCCAAGGGGACACTTTGCATATTAGGCTTTTCTATATATAGATACACAGGCCTGATGACAGGCGGAGGGGCCACAGCCCAGGAGGCTCTGGGGTGAAGGGAGGGTATAGAACCCCCTGACCTCGGCCCCTCACCCAGAATCAGGGTCCTCAGACCTTCCTTCTGGATCCTTTCGAGGAGGGAACAAAGTTTACAGCAGTCCTACTAGGCCAAGGACTTTGAATAGATTATTTTCGTGTTGCTCTAAAGTAACTCGAAGGACAGGTCCGAGAGAGGGGTGGTGTCCATCTGATGGGTTCTGTAGCAAATGGACAGAGTCATAGACCAGCGGTCGCCAACCTTTCAGACCTCATGGACCACCGGTTGGCAGTCACTGTTGTAGACGCTGCCCATGTCTCTGGCGGTCGGCCGCACCTGGGAAATTTCCAGAGTGACCTTTCCCAGAAACCTCTCGTTGGCAGCGTGTGTACCTGTGTTTTTAAATTTTGTATAAGGGTTGGAGGTTGGGAAAGGATAATACAGAGATACTTTTTAATACAAACGTGGCGTATTTTGTTCTTTTAATCCTCGCCTGCCTGAGGACATGCTTAGAGAGAGGGAGAGAGAGAGGAACATCCATGTGACAGAGAAACATGAATCAGCTGCCTTTCATGTGTGCCCCCACCAGAGGGAAACGAAGCCAGGCATGCGCTGCACCCTGACCAGCCGCCCGTGGGTGCACAGGACGCTCAACCCACTGAGCCACCCAGGCCTGCCCAGCGTGCCAGCTTTGCGGGCTGTTTCTCAGCGAGAGCGCACATGCCGTGGACTGGGGTTCTGCGGGCATGGCCACGCTGCACCCACCGCCTCACCTCTGCGGGAGGACCTGCGGGAACCCTTGCACTCGGGCCAGTGGGTGTCTCAGTGGCAGACACGGGCGGGCGGTCCCAGCACTGACCCTGCCCTGGGACTCCGTCTCTCCGTGTGCGCGTTTAAAAAGAGGAAATTAACCCTCCTCCGCAGCTTGTGAGAGAGACGAGTCGTTGACAAATAACTGACTTGGGTCTGTGATGCTTGTCCCTGGAGAAGAAGGGGAAACTGGATTTGCCAATGGACTGCAATAAAGGCAGCGTGTGCGTGGGAAGGGGGCGGGGACTCGCTGGTTCACGGAGGACATGGTGCCAGGAGACACCAGCCAGGGGATCCAGGAGACACCCAGCCAGGGATGCAGGGGACTCCCAGCCAGGGGATCCAGGAGACACCCAGCCAGGGGATCCAGGAGACACCCAGCCAGGGGATGCAGGGGACACCCAGCCAGGGGATCCAGGAGACACCCAGCCAGGGGATGCCAGGGGACACCCAGCCAGGGGATGCAGGGGACACCCAGCCAGGGGATCCAGGAGACACCCAGCCAGGGGATGCAGGGGACACCCAGCCAGGGGATCCAGGAGACACCCAGCCAGGGGATGCCAGGGGACACCCAGCCAGGGGATGCAGGAGACACCCAGCCAGGTGATGCAGGGGACACCCAGCCAGGGGATGCAG